TTATTATTATTATTATTATTATTATTATTATTATTATTATTATTATTATTGTTATTATTATTATTATTATTATTAACCCCCGGTATTCACTTGGAAAGCAGGCTGAGTGGATGTGGGAAGGAATTAGAGCAAGCTTCATCACTTGCCCCTACCTGGGACACCCTTGCTGTCTGAGCTACCATGACTCCAGTGATATCTACAGTCCTACCAGACAATGTGTTCGGCAACTTGGTACTTTTCTGAACCTGGAGTACATCATGGTGCTCTAGGCATTCATTCAGAAACCATTCTAATAATGTTTTAGTTTCTTCTATCTCAAGATTTGTTTTAGAAATCTGCAAGAAAGGGACATAAATGATAGCAATAGTTACCACTGATAAGTAATTGCTAACACTACATCATTTCATATTTATTATATCGATAAGTGAACTTCTACTTTTTCTGCAAGTGTGTCTTGCCCTAATAATAAATATTTAATCATGTTCAGTACACACAGAACATTACAAATTGCTTTGAGATTTTTGGATCTTTTAGACCTCTGTTCTGTGTTTCCAGCTTGTTGGAATTTCTAACAAACTGCTTTTGTAAAAGGCTCTGTGTTTACTCCCTTTGGGCCAGCACACAAATGTAGTATTTTTGAAATATAGGGGGGGGGGAGGAAAGGGGGAATTAAAATAGGCATTAAATGAAGGTCAGGTAGGCAGTCATTCTTAGTTCTGCCTGGCTGAACAGCAGTAGAGTGAAAGCCTGCTGTTTAGCTGACACACAGTACCATAAGGCATTACACTCACAGGGGAGGGCGGCACAGACAGAAGAGTGATGCCACAGAGCAGGTTACGCTGTGAGCTTAATGCCAGAGGTACCACATCCTTGTCCATGACCAGCGATTTCAAGTACTGGTTTTATATCAGTGGTTTGCAACAAACTCCATTCACTGAATGCAAAGCTTTACGATCCAGTGCAAAATTTACTCCCACCTTTCTGGTCACAGAAACCATATCCAGCTTTCATTCTAAAACCAGGTTTCAGGGAGGAAATAAACAGGCATACCGTGTTTTTTTTTCACTTTGCCACAAGTACATTGGCTCTTCTATATAGTTCCCAGTTTAAGCTTTTGCAGTTGCTGTGCATCAACCTCTGAAATGAGGATGTGTGCATTCCTGTGGACAGCAATCTCTGACAGTCACTCTGTCAGTAAGCAAAAGGTCTTTCCATCCAATTCAGTAGCAGGGGTAGCTGAGGATGGCAAGTGACATTTTGGTTTTAAGATGTCTACATGAATTAAAAAGTTCGGTGGCCCTCCCATTTCTCTTTTATCAGATTGAAACTTGTATTAATGTTCTTGCGTAGTGACTGTAATTAAGGCTGATTAAGAAAAATCTTCTTCTGGTATTTGTCTTAATGTGTCATAAAAATCTTTTTACTTTGGAAAATGTCTCCCAAACGCAACCACTGTTTTCAAAGGAGGAATGTCTATTAATTGTGTTGATTCAAAGCCATTTTATGGAGCCAGTGTACTCATTTGTAGGTTAGGTGGTATATACAGTATGCATGCTTTCAATTTTTATATTAAACTTTATTTCTTCTCTCTAGGCAAACTACAGATAAAGTGAAAGTTAATCCAGTTGATAACCTGTGACGTTGTAAATGGAACCAGGATTGTATTTGAAAATAAATAAATGAGACTAACTATTATTAGTACTAGCGATTTTTTTTTAGCTGAGTTTTTTTCTGGCGGCTCTTGCTTGGGTTTTGGTTTGTTGACTGGATTCAGTGCTTCACAGTGAAGTGCAAAATCTTATCTTTTTCACTCTAGCTGTATGCTAATCTATATCTGAGCAGAATGTTTAGTACACAGCATATGGTATACAGCACCATTACAAATGAAGAAGTAAAATCCATATACAGTAGTACTGTATCAGCAAATGAAGATGAAGGACTAAGTTTAAAGTGAAAAGATTTGTCCTAAGCATACTGTAGCTATATATAAAAAATGTAATGTTTTTGACAATCTGTTTCTGACTTTTATTATTAAATTTGCATGTGCTTTCATCTATAGTTTCATATTTAGTCTATTTTTACTGCCAGTTTATCTCATCCAAGTGTGAAGGACTCTACTCGGTTACAAAACCAGTGCTCAGCTCCGGATTTGAACCCACAATGCCCTGAGCATTCGTATGTGGTACTAAAGTAGGATGTGCAAGGCTCTTAATCTAGGTGGTGAAGAGAGTGAAATAAATCTTGTTTGACATCACTGTACTTCAAATTATATGCTTCTCCATGAAGAAAATGATTTAATTCTGTGTGGCAATAAAAAAAATTGAAACATGCAGAGATACATACTCTAGATATGTTACCTATGATAATGTCGGTAAGAGGTAACTTGCTAAAGAGTGCTTTGTGATTGTGTTCACTGTGCCAAGGTGCTCTACAGAATAATAATAGATTGATTAAGTGATCCATTAAAGGCTGTTGTTGTTATCAGTGGTAGTTTCGTTTTGTAATTTGGCTTCTAAAGTATGGACAGTAGGTGCTGTAAGGCTTGCAGATCTGTTGGAGGACAGAATGAGCTTCTCTGATGCCACATAACCCTGCACGTAATCAGCCACTAACCCAGTTCCCTGATATCCCCCCCAGCCATCTTCATGTCATGGGAGTTCAGTGCCACTAATACAGTTTTTTGCTGCCACAGCAGGCTCACATGCTGAGGTGGTGTGTAGCACAGCCTGGATTGAGACTAACAGCCTCCAGGCTGTAGGAGCCCTGTGCTATAAACCGAGGTCTTTTCCTGGGTGAGCTGATCTAGAGGTCTCAGGGCCCTTGCACAGTTCAAGGCTGTGCCCGAAGAAAAAAAATATCCATCTTTTAGACTAACTGACAGGTTCTGGTTTTCATTTGTGAAGACATTGCTTAGGATATTTATGTTAATTTTTTTTCAGAAACAGCAGAGCATATGAAGAAAGCAATGCAATATTTACACCTTCATCATAAATAAATCTGAAATAAGATCAAATCAACAGCACTCCTGTGCCACCACTGCCACATCCCCAGAGGCGAGGAGAGAAGCTGCAGAGTGCTCCATATAAATAATACGGATGGCTGGGCTTGGATCCAATGATTCCAGGGAATGAGGAAGCTCAGGGCACAGTACAAGCTGTGGGTTGCTGTGACGTTTTTTTATTATCACATAGAGCACATACTGTGCATGAAGGTAGCCAGAAATATCTGCAATAGAAGATCCCTCTTCTATTAGCCATTTCTTAAAAGAATTTCACAAAAGTATACACTATTGATTTTCCTTTTTTTATTGTAGAGTTTAAAGTAAAGGGTAAAAATCATCATAAAAACGTATTATTTAAATTATTTAGGCAAGACATTTACAATTATAACTTTTGCTACTTTTCAGGCATGAAACACTAGATAATAATAATACAGCTACTACTAATAATAATAATAACAACAACAACAACAACAACATGAATAGGCCTTTAAATAGCACTTTCCATCCCAAAGAATTTCAAAGACTTTACATATACTGTAGAATACAACCCATTTCATACATCACTGGAGTGCAGTATTCGTTGAGTGACCGGTGGAGAAGGAAGTGAGGAAGCCCAATCAAATTAATAAAATATTAACTTTAGGGAGGTCCATTGTACAAACCCAGAGTAGAACCTTTCCAGGAACATGGGGTTAACACCCCTTATAAACAGTGCCACAGGACTCTTTGAAGACTGAAGTTTTGGAATGTTGGCATAATGTCTCCTGAAGAATGGTACCTTGAACAACAGGTATTCCATGTCAATGTGTTGTTGGGTTAGGAAACTCTGGTCCACTGTGCAAAGACCCACTTGCTGGTCTACCAACATTACATAGAGAAGCAGCGTGGTTGTTCTTTGAGGTCTTAATGGCTCAGTATAAGCTGGAAAATCTGACACACGGTAAAGCAAAAATAATGTTGTATTTTTCTATTTAATTCAACATAAAGACAAAAGCACCACCACATAGGAGTGCTGTAGAGATGACAGAGCACCAGAAAGAAGGTCACATGCAGGCTGTATTGGCTATTTCTGAGCCACATTTGTGTGCGTGTGTGCATGTGTGTGTCTGTTGTGTCAGTTTCTTGCACAAATTGGAGTTCCATGCCTGGGAACTGCCTGCTGCCTCCTATCATGAAATGTTTGGAAATGTTTTTCTTTTGATATATAATTTGTTTCTGTCTTAGAGGAACCATATGCCTGGAGCTGAATATTGCTGTGCCTTATCATTTGTAGTTAGAAATGTCATGGCTAGTATTCAAGCTACAGTAGCTTCTCTCCTTCCTTTTCTGAAATTGTAGTACACTGATACAGCATGTTCTTTTAAGGTTACTGTTTATGCTTGTATGGAGCCAAGGATTTACATCATCGCTATCCTCAGACAACTGAGTCTTCCAGTTCAGTGAAAACAATGACACCCTTAGAGAGATCCTTATGGTTCAGATACTGTACATACAGTATTTCGAGACTTTTTTGTACTAAATTCTTGCAGTGGAGACTAGTAGAAGTAGAATATGCACATGTTGATAAACCTGGCCTGTAGTGTTCTGTAATGACCATTTGAGCTGTGCTTTAAATTTAAAAGAGCAAATTATACCAACATTTGAATAAACAGTAGAAATTTTGGACAAAAGAGGACACAGAGAAAAGATGGACAGAAAAGGGGAACATGGATGTGTGTCTCTCTTTAATGAGACAAATACATCCTTGATAAGTCTTCTGTGATTCTCCCTTTAGCTATTGTTTCTTTTTCTTACCATCTTCTCCATTATAGTAATATTTAAGGAGATGTGCAAAACACGATGCAAGGATCCCTGCTCTTGCCGAAGGTTGGGATTTCACTGGGCAACTGTGTAGAAAGAAACTTTAGATAGTGTTGAATTTACCTGAATAACAAAATACGACAGTACAGTTTAATTTGCACATAGTCCAGAAATAAATACCTCTATGTTTCCTTTAAACATGAAAAAATCTTTATTTTACTCCAGGAAAATGGCATTTAAAAGAAAAAAGCCATTTAAATCGTTAATAATATAACAATTGAATGTTTTTGCACATCTCTGATATATGTATTTTCTAATGTGCTTATGACTAAGCGTGTTCTTTTGGTAGGTTACCCTTCCAGCAACTCACCTCTCACCTCCCCGTGCCATTCACCCATCCAGGGGACCCCCATCTCTAGTCCCACCAGCACAGCCCCCTCTATGGAGCTCCCTGACATAGCTGGCACACTGACCAGGCGTGCCATGGGCCCACACAAAGCCTTAACTGTCACACAAAGTGCTCCCGACGCCCCAGGGCAGCACACGGGTCCTGTGCTTCTCTGCAGTAGGTAAGGCATGCAGTCTGCGTTTCCTCCAGCCCAGCTCTCTCGCAACCCTTCCCCAGTCAAGCTGCAGGAAACCAGGTTTAGGAGGTCTATTTTAGGCATTGGCAAGCCAATCTTAAGTAAAACTCCCCCCTTTCTTGCAAAATCAATAGCTGGACTTTTTTAATGAAAGTGGATTAATTTCTTATTTGTGATTGATATCCTACAGAAGATTCTTTTTTTACATTTTCACAGTCACAATTGCTCTGAGGTCGGCCTTATTTTAATGGTTAATGATGTTTGGAGTTTGGAACCTTTAGTTTTTTTCTAGCAATGTATATGCAAGGTGCACATCGCATTTTTGTACTTTTATTACTGGTTGTGGGATTATATAGGACGGTTTGTGCAATGGCTGTTGTTTTCCTAACATTTTGCTAAAATGTACTGAATTTTCTCCACTCTGGTTCATTTATGTTTGTCATATAAGAGTGATGATTGAGATAAACCTGAAGGTTTTTAAAAGTATTCCTTCTGATGCACAATTAAAAGCAGCACCCAGTACCAATTTATCATTTAACACTGATGACAAACAACATCACAGAAATAAAAAATAAACATAAAAGAAATGCTTGTTTTTTTTAACATTTGTGACATGCATTCAAAATGAATAAAATCACAAATCAAAAATGTCGCCTGTGACTCCTTTGAGCTTTAAAATGGTCCCAGCAGTGTTGGCACACAGACCTGATCAGCCTCTGCACAGACTGCTGTGGGACGTTCAGAAACCTCCTGTTCAATTGCAGTTGTGTTATGTTGATTTCACTGATATGCTGGTCTCACAAATGTTCTACTGAACACATTTCAGGTGAAAAGAGTGGTCATGGCAAGACCTCGAATTAATGCTCTTGACATTGTGCCATTGTAAACGTAGAACTACAGTATGTGGTCTTGCCTTACCCTGCTAAAATTGACACTTCCAAATGGGCTTCCAGGAATTGTTGAACTGTTGACTCTTGTATCTGCCGAGCAGTAAGGTTGCCTTCGATCTGCACCAAAGTCATTTTTGTTTTAGGAGATTACTCGACACACCATTACATTTCTGCTGCCTCATCGCTTGGCTTGAATTAAACAACAATCAGCAAAATATTCAACACAATGTCTTCCCACACGTTGTTTTCAATCAGGTCTGTCAAGTGCAAAATGGTATTTGTTGATATAACAAACAGTCCACAACTCTCTGTTGGCCCCCTCCTCAGATGTTCTCTGGCCTACAGATGTCAGAGATTTTGTCATGTGGAATGACTATGTTACCCCCAAAACAACCCAAAACAAGCAGATGGTGAGCTAGAGTCATGCTACTACCCTGGGTTATGTCTTCTGGGATTTCTGCAGTCTAAAGATGGTTATGCAAATGGCACAGAAGGACCTCAGCAATGGTTCTGGACCAGGGAGTGATTCTCTGCCTTCCTTTACATGGCCTGTCCCTTCAAAGCTTTTTCCCCAATTTCTCTGAATTAGTATGCTGATTGCTGAAATAGAACTTCTCATTCTATTAATTATTTCTCCCAGAGACCGGTCGCTTTAAGTCATACCAAGATCAACCATACAACCTTCTTCTTCAATGACTGTGATCTCTATTACTCAAGCAGGGCGTGATTATATCTTTCACTGTTCATTTCAATGGCTGTAAATAGCATAATAAATGTTGTGATATATATTTTCAGTAACCTATTGATGTTGAATTTTGACAGTTACATTTTCATTGTGCATCAGTGTGTAACTAATTTCCTTCTCACATTTAAGAAGACATTAGTAATGGTATTGCACCTTCAGTCAAACATTATGTATAACATTGGGTGAATACAGTATCCTTGGAACATCAGGTAAAAGTACTTTGTTCCAGCTGTGACTACTTTATGCCATTACTGTGCTTCCCAGCCAGTTTGCACCTGGAGGACATTTCAATGGCTATACAGTATCTATCAGTTTCTTCTTTTATCTTTAATTTTCCTGTATGTAGCAAACAATTTGAACTCCAGTGTGTCTTGGTATTTCAGTATGGTATCAGCAGTCTTTAGAGCCACAGTAGGGAAAAGTAAACGGATTTGTCTTGTAACCATTAGGCTGACTTCTGCAAACAGTGTAAAATGTGTAATAAATGAGGGAAAAAGGCCTCCCCTGCTGAGAAGAAATGCACCTCCTCAAAGTCATAAAGTGAGACTTCTGCCTTCAGTTTAAAAGAACATTTTACAATCTTTTTGTGGGCATTAAACCTTGCATTGCAAACAGAAACTATAAATGTTTGTGATAAACTAGTGCATTGCAGTAGTGAGAAACCTATACAGCTATACAACAAGTCTTATAATAATAACTCTGAAATATCTGTAGCATGTAACAGCATAAAATGAATAGTTTCTCCTATATGCGAAAACCTTTGTACCATTCACTTAGTTTCGCAAAAAAAGTTTGCTCTAAACATGTTAATGGAAGCTAAATTAAATTAGTCATGGAAGAAAAACATTTTTACTGTCTTTAAAGCCATGTGGTATGTAATTCATACAGAAATGGCATTAGAAATACACTCATGCTGATAAGTATAAGTGTGCTGCCATCTGCATGGGTGTATGAGGGTTTTTGCATCTGAGCAGCCAAAGGCAGACAGTCTGGAGGGCTGGAGGGGTCGGAGCACAGCTGTAGGCAGGCAGCTGATTGCAGCCAAGTGCAGCTGCATGTTCCTCCCTTTCCTGAAGCCAGAATTGCTTTATTCTGAAGGCCAGGTGGCCTGGACTTGTACCTGATCCAAAGCTAACTGCACAGTGAGGCCTCCATTGCTGATCAGAAGGAGGCTGTGCTTCAGTAGCAGCGATTGCCGTACTGCCCAAGGCATGTTGATTTTCTAGGAACACAGCCGCCCTGCTGTGAATACCAGCAAATGTCAGCAGTGGTGAAAGCCACGAGCACATAATGTAAACCCCCCCTTTCATCATTTGAAATCACCCTGAAACTAGATCATTGCTTGCTTGCTGTAACATTCTATTCCCTTTGAGGCACAAGAAGAATAAGGCAAACAATGTCTGAAATGAGGGTGGCATGGTGGCGCATGGTAGCATTGCTGCCTTGGAGCACTGGATCCCTGGGTTCAGTTCTAGACCTAGGGAGCTATCTGCATGGAGTTTGTACTGTATGTTCTCCCCATGTCCATGTGGGTTTTTTGCAGGACCCTCATGTGTGGGTTATTCCACCCACAGTCCAAAAACACACCAGTAGGTTGATTGGCAACTAGGAAAATTGACCCTGGTGTGAGTGTGTGTTTGTGTGTGCCCTACATGGACTTGCATCCCATGCAGTATATCCTGTCTTGCACCTGTAACCTGCCGGGATAGACTCCAGCTCCCCTACCCTAACTCTGGCAATCTCTGAATTGGTTAGAAAATGGATAGATGTCTGAAATGATACACGACCCCAAGATTTAGAAAAGTGAAGTAAGACGTACTGAATGGATTAAGTATATACACATACAGTGTGTGTGCCTTTATGTAACGGTTATGCGTCATGATTAGTCCATTTTCACCAGTAAATCTGATTAACAGAATGCTTATAAGAGGGGTTGGCTCAGAACAGGAAGAATTTACAATGACTGCATGGGATTTGTGTTTTTAAAGGGTCACTGAGGTGAAGGGATGTGAATCAACACCATCTGGTTTTTCTTTGATGCCTGTAAAAACCAGCAGAGTCATGCATGATTTATACATGTAACAAGAAAAATATGGCAATCCACTTCAGTAATCCAGACATTGTTCACAGCATTATTTTTTAAATGTTTTATTTTATCATTTGTTAATGAGGCATTTTAAAGAAATTGCAATTCGTTGGTACTCAGTGTATCAGGATTCCTCACTATTACTCTGCTGGAGGAACATGTTATGCTAGCTTTTCTTGTGTCAGCTTTTCCTGATTTTTTAATTAACATGGAAAGCATCTTTGCATTGGAAGGCTGATTCCACTGTAATCTCTGCATATTACACATTGTATTGATAGATCTGACATTCTTGGAAGAAAACAATTAAAGAAGCTTGTTTTAGGAGTTTTCTTTTTCATTTTTGATCTAATGATAATCTTTGAGTTTAGAAAACTTCAGCCTTGAGATAAGCTTTATACAGACTCTTTAATTGTTTACTGTGTATTAAACATGTCTTTTTGAGCATAGTAACAACACACACATTGCATTTCTGCCATATTTCTTTGTAGTACATCAGGGACATACTGGTTGTGGTGTTGTGGTGTTCTCCTAAACAATGTTAAATGTTAAATGTTAAAAAAACAGTGTTAAATGGAAGAGACAGTTTAACAAGAAAAACATGTGTCACAAGGCAGTACAAAACAAATGCTTGTCATAACGTTGTCTTCACAAATAACATAGAAATATTTTTTTGAAGATGACATATGATGTATACTTATTGTTTATGGAACAAACTATCAAGGCATGTTCAGTATTTTACAATTGGCCTTTGATAAATTGCCTTGAATACTACAGTGCAAATAGGTTTGTTGGGACTAGTTGCCTTGTTTGTTTCATTTTTACAGTTTTCTTTCTTCAGATTAAGTTTTAAATCCACTGATTTACACTGAAATAAAAAGAGTAAAATCAAGTTATTGCCAAGAGATAATAAATAATCAGAGGACATGTTGAATAGCTGATTAATGAACTGACATTCATCAGGGCAGCATTCACCAGATAACAAAATATCTACCTGCACAGTTTTGCTGCCTAACTGTACCTGGTATAGACAATAATGGCTTTTGCATGAACCCATTAGGGAAACCAAAGGCCGTGTGTGGAAAAGCCAGTGTTAATACAGCTGTCCAGGGTTAGAGCAGAGAGTCAAACCAGCAGATTGCTGCAGAGGTTGTCGGGCAATACACTCGGAAATAGGGAAAGCAGTCAAGGTGGAGATATGACATGCAGTAGTAAAACAGAGTTCGGGAAAAGGTAGCACAAGAGCAGAGAGCGTTCATTCAGTCCATGAGGAAGACCACGCTTGCAGTAGACAGAGAAAAGCCCGTGTGGTGATGATGTCATGGCTTACATCTGAGGTGGAAGTTCAGGGCCTGAGAAATTTCGAGAGGTCCTCTGCCCTGCTAGAACCTCACCTGCTGTTGCATCTTTCACAACACTCCTTTCGTTCGGCCCTTCATCCAAAACAGCAGAGCATAAGAAAGTTAGGTGAGAGCCAAAGCACAACGTGGCCACTAGCTCGTGATCTGAGGAAAGCCATCACGGCATTGGAATTGATCATTCCAGAACCCCTGGACTGGAGTGAAAGACAGAAAACTGACAGGAAGTGAGAGAGCTCGGCTGGCTTCGGGGTCTGCTCTCACTTTTCCTCATAACATTGTCATTAGAATGCAACAAAGGTTTTCTATTAAAGAATGCAAGTGTATGCTATTGATAAGCAAAAATATATTTACTGTTTACATTATAGAAATAACCTCTGCGCCTATATAGTAATTTATATAGTGTATAGTATTAACACTATATAGTTTAGTACAAAAGTACTACAGTGCCTTTAAACTGAGCGACAGAAGTGTTAACTAATCTATTCATCACATGTGAAGTTCACATTTCATATTGTGTAACAGCCTACACAGTAAACTTAGTAGTTCTCTGGTACTGTCAGTGTTAGGGGTGGTGTTATTTGTGCTAAGTACTGATATTTTAAATATTACTTTTACCAGCTGTGGAAGACCATACATTAAACTAAGCCATGGAGAGGGTTCATTGGACAAAGAGGATACACCCACACACAGACTTCACAGAACAGGTAACCACTCTGCATGGGAAGAAGAATCACTGCCCCATAATCATTTTTGATAATTACAGCACTAAGAAAGCATCATGTTGTAATGATAAAAGTAATATTTTTTTATACTGCACTTTTAAATAGTACATAATCCCAAGCTGTTATATGATAAACCAATCAAGTAAAACAGGAAAGAGCTAAAAGAATAAATATGGGCTTTAACAAAAGATTTAAAAAAAATGTTGACTGACTTGCAAATTCTGGTGTGGGCTGAGAGATCATTCTCAATCTTGATGCAACAGAACATAAATCACAGTCTTCCGGGTCTTGGAGACTTCTATTGTGTCCAATAAAATCCAGAGTTCGAACAGCGCAAGTGTAGTTTGTTTAACAAATCAGTGGGAAGTCTTATATCATCCTCTAATACTGTGAGGCCCTATGTACTGTCCTGTGTGTCCCAGACACAGAGGCGATGTGGGCAACATGATCATTTTCATCTGTACTCAGTACCATTCGTCAAGATCTGTTCTGAGGAACAAAGCCACTGTGTCAGAAACCGAGAAAAGGTATTGAGGTTTGCACTTTTTTAATCACCCATTGAAAAGTTCTCCAATTTCGGGTGGCCAGCTAGGATTGCATAACATATCTTACCAGGCCATGAGTGCAATATGTTCTGCAATAAATTTGGAAAGCAAAGATTTCTTGGACCCATGAAATCCACCGGGACAACTGGAATGAAAATGGAGGGATGCATCTTTCGCGTGAAAAGTCATACTGTTCACATTCTTTTCAGATGATCCAGCGCTGGCGTCATCTGATTATGACAGCACTCATGAGACCAATAACAGCGACAGCAGCGACATTGCACAGAACGAGGATGAGCCAGATTGTGCCAAGCAGCTGGCTGAATCCAGAGAAGGTTCCATATGCCGAGCATATAGACCAGAAACCCTCATCTTACACCCCTTAATCCCGCCTGAGGTACAATAGCTCACTTCAGGGTCTATCGAACAAACAGCTTACAGTGCAGGGAATACTGTCACAAGAAATCCATATTGTGTAGAAGTGATATGTGCACTGTGCTGATTCCAATTTAACCTAATTTTCATTAAAGCACATTATAGGAGCTTTTGATTCACTCTGGATTTAAAAACACTGCACATTTGCCAGTGTTAATTTTTGTTATAAAACACTGTTGCCAGATCCAGAATTTAAATATTGAAATAGGCTAAGTTCTTAATATGAACAAGTCATAGGTTTATTCCATGCTGAAAGAAGAAGAGAGAAAACACAACATTTTGGCTGTGCAGCCTTCTTCTGGTGTAAAATTCTAAATATGAACATACGAATGACAGTATAGCTGACTGTTTTTTTAAAAAGAAGAAACAACAGCACAGTGTGTTAGTGTTTATCAGAACACCACTGCATGAGGAGTCTTAGTGATTCATAAAAAAACAAATCCAGAGAACTTTACAGCACCGTCTGCCCAGATCTGGACGCAGAATGTGTGTTGAGATGCTAATGCTATGAACATGTGACGAATGGAAGTGTGTGTGCTATGCTTTGGTTTTTAATTTTGTGATGCTGTGCTGACAGTGGGCTGTGCTTGCTGCAGGACAAGCCCATTCTGGCACCAGAGCCACTAGTGATGGAGCACCTGGACCCCATCATGAAGCAGCTCAACAACTGGAACTTCCCCATCTTCGACCTGGTGGAGCAGACGGAGGGGAAGTGTGGCCGCATCCTCAGCCAGGTGAGAGCTCTCTCATTAGTGTGGGTCAAAAGCTATCGGAGATCAACTACTAAAAGTGGTAACTGTGGTGGTCTAACCAATGAAGCAGACGTTAGCGTTCAGATAATGCCATTGTTTCAGGAAATGAAAGAGGGTTTATGTGCAAAATCTCTTTGGTTCTTATGTGAATAAACATGAAATTCAAAAGAGAGATCGGCACAGCCAGACTTCTGCGCTGCCCTTATCCCTTGTGCTCATTCTTCAACCGTGCAGATCTGATGCAGATCTGAAAGCTCACGCTGAAGAACACTGTTCTGACACAGTGTGTCTAAATCATAAGCAACTTAAAGAAGTCAGGAGTCAGGGAAATGCGTACTAATCTGTGGCATTGTGGTGTGTCAAGTCACAGAGAAACATTCCTCCGTTCTTCCTCCATTTTGAAAGCAACCTCAGCTCCATATTGAGAACCTGACCCTGGGAGAGAGGGCTCTGCCTTGTTCGAGCAGTCTCGAGCTGCAAAGGGATAGAGGAGTAGAGAAAATAGCTTGGCATTCTCGACCGATAAGAGACCCCGACAGAAAAAAGAAGCGATGTGATAACACAAAAACAAGAAGCCATCAAACGCTAACTGGTGAATTGGAGCCTGAGAGCATGCAGTTACACCCATTCTTTTACTGGAGCTTTATTTAAGCCATCCATTTTCAGAAACTGCCATTAATGTGGCAGGTAGAAAAAGTGCATCAAATGTATCTTATACCTGGGCCACTTGCATTGAACCACTGCAAGAATAGCTTATTTGTTTAAAGTTGCTAACTTGAGAAAAGTCCTAAGAAAATGACTTTTCAGTTTCCTTATTTTTAGACAGAGCTTTTGGCACAGCATATTACTGTAGTTCAATATACTGTATTTCAGGTTACTTCTAATCAGACTTACTCTAACTTAATAATGTCAATGTGGTCATCTCTTCATAACTGTGTTGTAAATCAACCAGCTCCTATCACATACCATATGAAATGTCAGTTATCAAACTCTGCAAAAGCAAAGTCGCCTTTTCCAATGAAACAACAAACTCTATAAATCTCTCTGCCTTAATTAGCCAGACTGAATATCTCACTAACTCATGGTACTATCGTTCTCATTTTTTTATTGCTGCTAGAGTTAGACCTTAATCTTCACTCATGCATTGCTCAGTAAATGCATAATGTATAATTCACTGAAAAGCATTTTATATTGTAGAGTAAGAGGTGATGGGATTTTTCCATGTGAAAGCTATATACCTTGCAAAGCACTGCTATAGTTTCTCTCCCTCTGTGGGCACTTTGCACTCTGGAATAGTGAACAGTTATGATTGAAATAAAACAGATTAAATGACCACCTTAGAGAAAAAATCTTAAAAGAACTCACAGGGAACAGATGTTTTTTGTAACACCAAGAGGCTTATTGACTTTCATTTTAATGTCTGCAAATATCCATCTTTGGGATATTTGAAGAATGTGTTGAGTGGTTTTGAGCAGGTTAGATTTATCTTTAACAAAAAGAAAATATGCATCACAGCATCTGGTACTTTATCTGAGTTTCACAGTCCTGTACAAAGTCGTAAATGGTAGAAGAAACCAAGGGATCGGTTAAACATGGGCTGTCAAACCCTCTTCAGACTGTCTTAAGTGTTCACTTTTGAAATGAGAAGGAAGTATCATTTTAAAGCAACTCTTTCCCTACTCTATCAAATATACTGTACTTCCTTTCTCTGTGCATGTTTTCCAAGTACTTGCAGAAGAAAAATAAATAAATAGATCTCTCCGGTGGAGATCAGATGTGACTGTGGTTCTGTTTTACAGTCACAGCTTCAGATGAAGAGGTGTTCTGCATTATTTAATCAGGAAGCTCCGTCTGCACTGAAATAATGGTCTGGACCAAAATGAAAGCAAAGACATTGCTGTGAAGACATGCTTGTGATCTTGCAGTACAGGGGAACGGCCCCTCAAAGTCTTTGTGTTCTGAAATGGGAGAGAACACATTCATTATAACCAGTAGAAAAATCAGAGGTTGAGATATTTTATTATTGAAGGTTAATTCACAGCTGCTCAGCTCCTCTCATGGGATCAAATCTTATTCAGGTCTTAGGGAAAGTGAATATGACTATGTGAACTTAGGCCTCATTAAGTGTATATTTAAACCAAGACATACTCAGCTGCAATTGCATTTAGGCACCTATGTGGTTAAAGAATATGAAGTCTTTATGGTTGGCCTCACAGTGTCCTGGGTTCAATTCTGGACTGGGGGCCTATGGGTGGAGTTTGCATGTTATCCTTGTATTTCCATAGGCTTTTTCCTAATACTCCAATTACCTCCCCCCCCCTTGATAGACATATTGATCGGCTATACTTAACTGCCAGGTCAATGAGGAGCAGGAGTGGGGCCATTTGCTTGCCAATCCACCCTGTCAGGAGTAACTCTGCTATGATAGTAGTTCAGGTGTGGGAGCTGCGTCAGCATGCGTTGGCTGCAAAGGAGCAAATAATAGGTTTATTCCATGCTGAAAAAAAGAAGAAAGAAAAAGGAAGCATTGAAAGCATTATACCTTCTTTCTTCTTTTTTTTCAGCATGGAATAAACCTATTACTTGTTGCTCTGCTATGATGCAGACCCTGGCATATTTTAGAAGAGGTTCAGAGGAAGAAGAGTGAATTGCATTGATCTGTCGTCTCTGATGGGCTGCAGAAGTTTCTTACAAGACAGGGCTAAGCTGGTTTCTGGAGGCAGTGCAAAGCAGATTGGCTTTGTGGATAGTCTGAAACACTTTGGGCTCCAATGCTGTTTACCCAGCCTCTTTCATGGACCGTAAAAATACACAGCGAAAAGAAAAAAAAGGACCAGATCAGAGAAAGGCTAATGAGAGATGGCACTCTGCCTGCAAAGCCATTAGGGGGATAGTGAAGGGGACGCGATACAATGTTACTCAATATTCTAAAACACTGACAGATAGGTCAGTCTGCTTCAGAGAGCCTCTGAGGAGAAGAGCATCTTTAAAAAATGCTGTGCTGGCTAAGCAAATACACACCAGAGCTGAGCAAGATGGTGGTTTGGACACTGGTGTACTTTGCTAACAAGAGGAGTCAGCAGAGAAGGAGAAATCTAATACAGGAAACTAAGAGCCATTTGTGGGCAATATACTGTGAAAAGCTGAAAAGGTGGATACTTCACAGTATATCATAACTTCTAAATTGCATGTGGACTCTTCGTGTTTTGTGAAGAGTGTTTGAAGTTATGACTGAGTCAGACATGTTGCACAAGAAACAATATGGCAAAAAGTAAAAGCTCTTATTTGGTGTGAGTAGACAATGGGGTACTTAGTTTACTGGTGCCTCTTCTTATTTTAGAAAAAAATGGAAAGGTTTTTTTTTTATTGGAAATGACCGCAGATGACGGAAAATGAGTTCCATTTTCCAGCCTCATTTATGGGAGAATAAAGATTTTCCTTTTAGCTGTAGCTGTCATACAGAGGTAATGCTGAATAGTGATGACCAAAGTGGAAAACTGTATTGTAATCCGGGCCTCACCAGAGCATTACATTAAATCAGTGTTTGGTTTCAGTTTAACATGGACATTCAGTGATTTTTACATTGTTTTTCATATAGAATATTTTAAGAAATGTGAATGCTTTGTGTCACAGGGGATGATATTACGCTGCCCGCATTCCTTCTTCTTAAAATGGCACTATTTGACCTATTCAGTATCAATAAACATCTGTTTTTCTTAGCAAATTTTATGGAAACAAAATACGATAACACATAAGCTAAAAGGGTGAATAAATAGTGGTGATGAATAAGGTACTGTATGGGTCCTGAATTCAATAAGGTTCAATAAATAGCAAAAAGCAGACACTGGAAACCTGAAGTGAGATAAAATTGTATTTATGTGCAAGCTTTTATTTTTTACTGCAACACATTTGTACAAGCTTCAAGCAAGGTAACATAGCTATAAACCTCTTTTTATGGTAGACAAAAGATAAGACAAGGTCATGTATAAAAATGCCCGTACAATGGCTCAGAAGAAATGAAAGAGGGAGAAGAAAAGGGATTTTTTTATTTCATTATTCCCTGGCAACAATAGCTTTCACATCTGCCCAGAGGCTGAGCTGGGAACAGCTCCTCCACTCAAGATAACTGTTCATGAAAGACTGAACAATGCAGTGGAATAAAATATTTTATCTCTGATCAACCTGTATTTGTGTTTTAGGTCTCCTACAGGCTTTTTGAGGACACCGGTCTTTTTGAAACATTTAAAATCCCTGTCCGGGAATTCATGAATTACTTTCATGCGCTTGAGAATGGATACAGAGATATACCTTGTAAGTAGGCTTTGATGGTAGAAGATTATAAGCATATGTGAATGTTTATATGAAGATGTAACACACAATCAGATGTAAGTACAGTATATTGCAAGTGTATTTATAATTAAGTACCAGTCAAATTATAAATATACAACACAGCATTTTATTAATCTTTGTGGATACAATATTCTACAAAACAGTTTACAAAGTGGTTAAAGGTTGTTATCAATGTAATTATTTCATTACACAAAGTTAAAGAACTGACTTATTATTTCACCTGATCTTACATGATTCAAAAATACATTTTCCTAAATGTTTTCTTCATCTTCAGGAAACTGAAATCAATTTAGTCTGTGTAAGAGAATCCAACACATATTGTATTCTGCTACATGTTTCTCAGTTCCAATTCAATTGGTGTATTTGTATTTTTTCATACTGAAGTTTAACTTTGCAAATAAATATATATCCAAGTCATTTTCTAATCAAGACACACCACATTACTGTTTATTATCTTATTTGTAATCATTTTTAATCCTTTCTCCTCACGCTATAGTAGTTTCTTTAATCAACCATAAGATGGAGACAAATACCTACTTCTAAAACGAATTGTTTTACAATAAGTAGAGTCATAGTTCCATCTAGTGGTACAGACGTGTGATGTCACCAGATGTTCTTACAACACAGATCACAATCGAATCCATGCTACAGATGTTCTGCATGCAGTCTGGTACCTTACTACTCAACCAATCCCTGGCCTTCCCAATCTCATCAACGATCATGGTTCCAGTGACTCTGGTATGTTTAAACCACCTTTCAGACTGTCACTTGCAGTTTCACCTAAATATGAAAATGTACAGTGTGCATGTGTGTGTTTATGGTTTGGGTTAAAGTAAGACGCTCATTTGAACCAGATTAGAATACATTGTACATCTGTTTTTTGGTCGTCTCAGATAGAACCAAAACTGGAAAATGATGTTCGGTGCAATCACCACAAAGGGTTCAAACACAGTTAAAAAAGTGGTGTTATTTTGCATTCCTATGAACAGATTAAATAGGCATCTGCAAATATTGGCCCATCGCCATGCATGTGCGTGCTGAGATGACATTCCAAGATTAGAACCACATACTTTGCAAAACAATTGTTGGATTAGTAGCGTTTTGCTCATTTTGCTAACAAGTTTCAGATGAACAGCAGACGTCAGGAGGTTTTCTGCTGCCACAGATATAATACAGATATCTATAAGTGTGCACACCCAGCACATGACCTCCACTGACGTAATGTCCCTGTTGTGCCTGTGGCTGTGCAGACTCGGACAGCGGCATCACTCACAGCCACATGGGCTACGTGGTGTCCAAGACGTACAGCGGCGCGGAGGACAGGTATGGCTGCCTGTCGGGGCTGATCCCGGCGCTGGAACTCATGGCTCTGTACGTGGCAGCTGCCATGCATGACTACGACCATCCAGGGAGAACCAACGCCTTCCTCGTGGCTACCAGCGCCCCCCAGGTAACTTCCTCTCAGCAGAGTGCGTCTGCATCTGTCGGATTCTGGCAGAATACCCATTTGGGTTCGGGTCTTCTAGCCGAAAGGTTGCAGGTTCAAGTCCTCATCAGGACACGGGTCATCCAAGACATTTGGGCTAGGTACTCGGCCCAAATTCCTTCGGTAAAGTACTTCGCCGTATAAGTGGGTAAAAGGTTCACCTATTTTGGATAAAAGTGACAGCCAAATAATGCAGTAAACTTTGGGGAAATTATCTTTGTGTTGCACCACAGCTTGGTTATGAATGGTTACTGACAGTGAAATTATAGTAATTTTTGTTTTAAGAACATGATTACAAAAAGGTCTTTGGCTATTTAGTCCTGGTCCTGGACTCCTGTGTGGCAGAAAATGGAAGAAGAGGGACAAGTTTCATTTAGAAAAATGTGTTGAGTCCTTTTTCTTTATTGTTCTTGCTCTGTTTTACGGAGTGCACCAACTAGGTCCTCAAGGGCCATAGAGAAGCAAGTCGTACAGCATCTTTAAAGCATCTGTAACCAATGCCGTATTAAAGCTAATGATTAGGCCAAGTTGTTTACAGCTGAAACTAACAGCAAAACAGTTTAAGCCCTCAAGGACTGGCCTTGTGCTCTCCTGCCGTCAAAGAAGGGAATCTCATCTTTAACAATTGCATTTCTCTCTGTCCCTTTCTCTCCTTAAGGCGGTGCTTTATAATGACCGCTCAGTGTTGGAGAACCATCACGCTGCATCTGCCTGGAACCTCTTCATGTCCCGCCCAGAGTACAACTTCCTGGCCAACCTGGACCATGTGGAGTTCAAGCGCTTTCGTTTCCTGGTCATTGAGGCCATACTGGCAACTGACCTAAAGAAACACTTTGATTTTCTGGCTGAATTCAATGCAAAGGTAATCATCAGAGGCCCTGGGACATGCACGATTACTCCATGACAGGCAATGCAAAAACAGCACATTGGCGACCCTGAGCAAGTAAAACACAAATTCCTTAAGATTTTTCACTCTTGCTCAGAATACCTGCTCATGCTGTAATAGTGAATGTTCATCAAGGCTAAAATAGAAGTTAAGATCACCCAGCTTGTGATCTTAATCAATACTTGTAGCTAATTACCCATAGATCCTCATGAGATTGATCCTTGAAATGTTGGTGTCAGCTTCCCAGTTTCCTGAGAAGGGTACCAAGATATTTCTAATAATCTTAACGTGGACTGTTTTCTATTCTACCATTTTCTTATGTTTTTCCTATGTGAAGTCTCTTCTAAGTGTTTTTTGTCGATCAAAGAGTTTAATCCATCTGCATAAACCAGACCAGTTAGCACTGCTACCTCATATTTCTGGGATCCTGGGTTAGATTGTGATCGGGGGATCTTATTTTTTGTTTTCTCCTATAGTTCAAATACAGATTAATTGATGTTTCTGATTTGTGCCCCTTATAGGTATGTACTGTATGCAAATGTATTCGAGGTGGGTAGCTGCATCAGCATGCATAGGCTGCTAAGGAACAAGTAATAGGTTTATTCCGTGCTAAAAAAAGAAGAAAGAAAACACGTTTTGGCCATGGAGCCTTCTTCTTCTTCCTCACACCTGAAGAAGGCTCCACCGCAGAAATGTTGTTTGCTTTCTTTCTTTCTTTCAGAATGGAATAAACCTATTATTTGTTCCTGTGCAAATGTATGCCCAGTGATGTATTCCGTCCAGGATGTACTGTATGCTACTTTGTACCCATATTCTGCCAGACTAGGCTCCAGCTTACCACAACCCTGTATTGGACTAAGTTATGGAAAATTGATAAAAAGATTATATACTATCCAGCATTCATTTCTTCTCATTTATACAAAGGAAAGATAATATTATCTTACAGCAGTGTTCTTATCTTTTGTGCAGAGGGCATGATGAGCATGTTTGCAGTCATGGCTGGGCTAGGAGAAGGTTTAGTTTTGTGGAAAGCATTCATATAATGCAGTATTTTACTTTAAAAATGAGAAAAATAATTTAAAAAACCAATACTATTTTTATCATCAATATAGTTGTAAAAAATGCTAATAGCACTGTGTTTTTTTCTCTATAGGTGAATGATGAAGTTGGCTCCGGCATTGAGTGGGCGAATGAAAATGACCGCCTGCTGGTGTGTCAAATGTGCATCAAGTTGGCTGACATAAACGGTCCAGCAAAATGTAAAGAGCTCCATCTGCAGTGGACTGAGGGCATTGTCAATGAGTTCTACGAGCAGGTCAGCGAGGGTGCCACTTAAATGATTACCAGGACATACACTATATAACACCTCAACTGTCTCTATGCACTGCACCTAACTTCAGAAAATCACATTGTTTTTGAGCCTTAGAAGCCTCATGTTGTTCTTTAAACCAGGTAATCACCAGCTACCGGGTGGTTCAATGTTTACAACCTGTGGCATCAGACTTAAAGGGGAGACAAACCCACTGCAAGCCAAACCTGGGAATGCTACACTTGCTGTAGTATTTCTGCTGCATTGTAGATTTGTATGGACATTTTCAAAAGTCATATGGGTGATGCTCCATGCATTAATAAGAGCAGTGGCATTTCATGATTGCAGCCCTATTGCTGTTGACTGATGGGTCACCTTTTACCTGTAGATCAGCAAGAGAATTGGCATGGCATGGCTAGAGGCTGACTTCATCAACACTTACATGATCTCCAACCTTCCCACATGATGAATGGGAAAATGGGGACCTGTCAGGGCAGAGAGAAGCACAACATCTTGAGGCTCTCACTCCACTGTCACAGGAACTTGCAGAAAATCTTTGAAACAACAGCCATTATTGTCATCCCATAGGAAATGAGTTACAGGATAATTGAGCTTTAAAACAGCATTTCTTGAAAGCCAGCAGGGCACTTTGTTTGCTACATAGGAAGCAAGATACTTGAGTTTTCTTCATAATACAGTCTCAGTGTTGTGTAATGTAAATACCTTTATGGAGTACCCAAGAGTGGGGATTCAGAAGCAAGCATCTAGCATCTTTTGCGTCAGACATGCCCAAACCTTTCTTGCAGTTTACCGAAGCAATGACGTGCTGGTGCATTGCTCATGCGTAACAGTCAAGTTCAATGATGCTTAAGAGCGGTAATTAGGCAAGACCCTTTATCCATGGGGAGAAAAACAACACAAAAAATGAATGAATCAAGTCAGTAAATGTTTTTTTTTTATGTGAGGTGATTCACGATTTTCCCTTGAGACAGCAACTGGAGGAATAAAGGCTGTAATCACAGACCCACTAATTTGTACTGCAGAGAGATGGTGGAAATGCTCACAAGTTATCTACAAAACCTAAGCGTAGCTGTCATCAAATAGAAGTGAGGTAATTCTAAAAGCATTAAGAATAAATTTAATATTTAAAAAAAGAAATAGAAATAAAAACAGGTGGTAACATTTTAATTTCATTACATAACATGTAAATACGTAATAACATAGGATGGTGGGACATGTTTTTAAAATTTACCTGAAAGAGAGTTTAAATAAATACATAAGAACATAGAAAGAATTACAAATAAGAAGAGGCCAGTAGGCCTAGTAGCATAATGATTCATGAATTTCATCAGTCTACTTCATAAAAGTTCCCACAGAGAAATCTTCAACCTACTAACTAGGGAGTCAGTAGCTGACTTCCTGAATTGAAGGGGGAAGAAGTATATCCTACTTTCTCTCTTGGGCATTCCTAAATTTAATTTCCATTTCTGTCAGTTGGTCATTGTATTCTTGCTCAAGTCCCCTGAGTTGAATTCATCAGTTTCTGAATACCTGAATACATCTTCTGACATGTACAATATTCTCATACTCTGACAGGCTTAGCCAGTAGTCATATCATCCTGCAACTCACAAGTTACAACCCACTAAAGCTCATCAGGTGTGAGCCTAGTCAGTACCTGGATGGGAGACCTCCTGGGAAAACTAAGGTTATTGTTGGAAGTGGTGTTAGTGGGACCAGCAGGGGATGCTCATTCTGTGGTCTGTGTGGGTCCTAATGCCCCAGTGTATTGACAGGTACACTATACTGTAAAAAAGCACTGTCCTTCGGCTGAGACATAAAAGAGAGGTCCTGATTCTCTGTGATCATTTCTCAAAAAGAGTATAGCGTCCTGGCCAAATTTCCCATTGGCCTTTACTAATGAATGATGGCCTCCTAAAAATCTCCATCTCTGAACTGGCTTCATCACTCTGTTCTCCTCCCCACCGATAGCTGACGTGTGTGGAGCAGATGCACTATGGCTGCCATTGCATCATCCAGGTGGGGCTGCACATTGGTGGTGGTGGAGGGGAGTCTCCATTACCTGTAAAGCGCTTTGATTGGAGTGTCTAGGAAAGTGCTATATAGGTGTAATGACTTGTTATTTTTTTAGTCTTTAAATACAGAAGACTACAAATTCAAGTTCAAGTTCATGTTTATTTGTCATTCCAGCCATATACAAGTATACAGTGGAACGAAATATCATTCCTCCTGGTCCACGGTGCAAATACAGGCAGGACAGACGGGACGTAGACTGACATAGACATTGTAGACAGGTTATATATAGTGCAAATTACAAGGCAATACATAGTACAATATACACAACACACTGGGGGGATTTACACCTTGTTTCTGGAATTGGGGTGGGTGCAAGTAGAGGACAAGAGGACATGTTTCAGGTATTCAAAATCCCCAATCCTTGAGTGCACTGACATAACTGAAAACATTTCCAAATCTCAAATAGAAGGAAGTGTTTTGAGGTACTTCAGTACACCAAAAGCTGTGACAGTTTGAAACAAACTGCCCAGCTACGATGTCGAAACCCCCAGATCAACTAGCTACTAGCAACAAAACAAGCTACAGTAGATCATCCTAATGGCCTTTCTTGTTTGCAGACTTTTTATCTTTATTCCAATTAACTTGGAAGAGGCATGATTGGGAAATTATTGAGTTTAAAAATACATTTAACGAAGTAGTGAATAACCTAATTTCAAACACAAGGTTCTGATGATTATACAGCATGTGCAGCTGGGCACATGTATATGTACCTATTATATATTAAATTTATGTCATATACTACATTCATATTAAACACACAGTCTTGACAGTTGGCATCTGGTTCATGTTTCTGGAAGGTGTTTAGTAAATGAATTCAATATGTTCCAGGGAGATGAAGAATCCAGCCTCGGCCTTCCCATCAGCCCCTTCATGGACCGTTCTGCTCCCCAGTTGGCCAAACTCCAGGAATCGTTCATCACTCACATTGTGGGGCCGCTCTGCCACTCTTATGACTCCTCTGGATTGATGCCAGGACGCTGGATTGAGGAGGATGAGGATGAAGGTGACACAGACGAAAATGAAGAAGAGGATGACACAACTGAGGAAGATGCTTCTGACAGTTCTGAAGCCTCACGTATGGGAAATATGTTTTTCTTTCTTTTTTTAAAAAAATCACTCACTAAATATTTTTTTTGTGATGGTTCAGTTCAGTTTTCGGTTTTTAGGCATGTTGGCCTTATCAAGACAAACTCCAGTTTAAAGGAGAACTGCAATGCTATTTTTATATTTTGAGGTTAGAAAGAATCAGCATTGATGAGTGCATTTCAAACCACAATAAAAGTAAAATGTACTCAGTAACTTGTAAAACCTCCTATTTACATCACAAAATAGATAAACTTTCCAGCTATTTGCAGCGCCATGTTCTATTTCAAAATGAGGCCACAAAACTTGTCTCATTTTGTGTTGCAGCCCTATTACATTGTAAACAAGGAGGCCTCTGAATCTTTCTCTTTTAATCCAATAGAAATATTGCTCTTGATTTCAAGATGGTATTGCCAATAAATTGAACTTGTTAACTCTGCATACAGATCACGTTGGAAAGTTTCAACGGTGAAATGTCTGCTGCACGACCTGTACTTTTTCACTCCTACAGTACATTAGTCATTACAGTGACTAGTGAGCAGGAAGGGCCACATCATGTCACAATTCGTGGGAATTTCCCTTGAACACAAAGGCTCTTTTAAGAGCCACCAGGGAAGTGAAAAAAAAAAAGATTTATCGCCCATGGCAAGACCAGGGATTTAAAACAACATGGAGACTTACAGTACAGTACTTTCACAAAGTTCACGATTGTGTGCTTAGGTAGGAATTTCTAAAAATGTTCTATACCATCAATTTTCTATACTGAATTTATTTTGTTACCGAGATTTAATAACTGATCTGCGAAATTGGGACAGCAGATCCCCTTGCTTCTTGTGCTTCTTGTGTCATATTACAATAATGGGGTATCAAGTTAAAATGATAGTAGAAACCCATATAAAAAACAAGATAAGTGAAGTCTTTCAGCTTCTTCCAACTTGGGGTGATGGGGCAGCTGGAGCCTGACCTTGCAAGCAATGACCATAAATCCGGATTCACCCTGGACAGGATGACATTCATGGAAAAAATACAAACTCCTCTCGGGCAGCACCCCAGGAATTGAACTCAAGGCCCCAATGATGGGAGGTTTGCACAGGCTAACGTCCGCATCACCGTGCCACCCCCTACTGTTATATTTATTTAAAATGTAACCGTTAAGAACCTTGCTAATTTATCTGACCATTAGAAGTCTTCAGTTTGAGCATTCAGGTTTCGAATAAAATATTAAGTTTTAACAAATGTGCATACATTATTTTGTAAATTCACAAAATGGAAAACCTATGAAGGGTCTTAACACTTTTACAAAGCACAATTGTGCCTGCTCCATGGTTGTGTGATGCAATGAGTATTAAAAACCACTAGAAAAGCAGGATATCTGGTCTTCGCTCCGGTATGATTTATCAAAACCAGTGCTACAACACAAAAAAAGTCACAGTGAAGGACTAAAAAAACGAATCACATCTTTTTAATTGCTTTTAATACTCATATAATTAACAAACCACTGATGAGATACTACACACTCCTAAACCCCATAAGACTGATCAGTTCAAAAGAACACGAACTGAAGTGAGGAGTGATCAGTGAGTGGGAGCCAGGAGGATGAGTTTCTGGAAGGTTACAGTACACATCATAGAATATCTGGGGAAAGCCAAAAAGGGAGAGATCTTCATATTCAAGAAGGTTATAATGCAGAATGCAGTGAACTCAATTAGGATAATGAAATGGTTTAAATTCAAGTAAATAAAAAGCCAAATATTACACAAATCATTGACGTTTGAAACAAGAAAAACAAAAAAATAGAAATTGACTAAAAAGCCAAATGCTCTCCTCAATGAGGCACTGAAAGGAAATGGAAGGCGGAGCTGTGGACACCAGTTCCAGTCTTGGCCCTTTCCCTCAGGTAAGACTCGAGGCCGGGACAGGGGTTTCTGATTCTCGCTTCCCCGTCTCTTCACAGAGCAAAGAGTCCCCAAGAAGAGGAGGAAAATCTTCTGCCAGATCACGCAGCACCTGATGGAGAACCACGCGATGTGGAAGAAGGTCATCGAGGAGGAGCAGGCGAAGAAGAGCGCCGAGGAGACAGGGCGGCTCCCTGCCCCCCCGGGATCCATCCGGGAGGAGGAGGAGGAAAGCGGCAGCAGAGAGGAGAGAGCAGAGGGTGAAGAGGAGCAGGAGGAGGGATTGCTCCAGGGGAAATCTGCCTCTCAGGCCCAGGAGGAGGCCAACTCCCAATGACAGGGATGACTAAAGGGAGCCACAAACACCGTCTGCCAGAGCTTGAACTTTGAACTTCTGATGACTTTTATTTTTGCCAGCACATCACCTAGACACAACACTGTAGATGTTTGTTGTTTTTTTTCCGGGAAAACGTGCCTAAAAAAATCAGGATGGGAGTGTGGGTACATGGTAGGAAGGGGGAGCAATAGGGTAAAGTCTGTTTTGGTGAGTTGTTTTTCTTATGATGAACTGAAAACAACAATACTGATAAAGGTCAGGTACATGTTCTGAAGATTTCACCTTCCTTTTGAGGAAGCCTCCACACGGCAATACAGGATCACACAACAGACTTTCCAGAAACCAAGGCAAGGAGACGACAGGTGAAATGATGCTGAAGACCGGAAGCAGTGTGCTTTAGAGACTGCTCCTTTTTCTAAGAAAAAAAAAACATTTTAAAAAGAAAAAAAAAATCTTTTTACACACCAACTCGTGTACAAACAGAATATATACTGTTCTCCCAGGGAGCTTGATTAATGATAATCGAGAAGCAGGATGTGTGTCCTGCTTCCGTGGCCATTGAGGTATGAATTTTAGTAGCTTTCATTCCATTTCATAGAGTGAAACAAATACTACAGTTTTTTAGAGCATTATCTAAATTCTGAAGAAAAAGCCACAATTTTGTTGTGTATTTTTATATTGCTTTTTTCCACAGAATCAGTCTCTTGCCTGTAGTACTGTAGGACAGAGGAACAAAAACACTAGCCAGCTTCATTGCTTCTCTGTTGTTGCTGTGAACCAAAATTCTAATTTTTTCTCTTTTTCCTTTAGTTTGCTTAGTTTGACAGCATTGTATTGTAAATATAAGAAGGATTTATTTTATTGAATTCTTGTTGGTTTTTGTTTTTGATCCACTTTCCTGTGTAGATATCCAGCCAAAAAAGAAGGGAGCTTCTTGTTTATTTGTTTATGTGTCGTTAAGAAAATAATTAGTGACCTTCTTAATTTTAAGCATAATTTAATAGCAAACATTGCAGGACATTTATACAAAGGAATCCATTTATAAAGCCATAAGATAAAGACAGACTACTTAGAAAAAAATAAGTTTTATTACTTATCATATGGTACCCCTTGTTTCACAAAAATCCTCAGTGCAGAGAAGCAGCCATTGTGATCTATGTCTCGTTTTAGTTTATACCAAACTTCTGGCTGATGTAATTCTTTAAAAGTGCAGTATTAGGGTTTTGTTTTTATTTTTTGTGAGTTTTAATGGATATGGCTTCATTCATTTCAAGAGGCATACAGTATATAAAACTGTAAAAAGCAAGAATCTAGGTAAAGACCCACAGTGGAAACAGGATAATAGGAAAGATTCAAGCAGCTTCTTATAGTAGAGAAAGATTTCTTATTTAATGCAGCAACTGGGGGATTTTTTTAAGTACCTTGTCTGAATGGAATGTGTTTATAAGCTATAAAGTTTTGCACAGAAACAGCTGAATTGTTTCCAGAGTAACACAGAGGTCTATTTATGACAGTCTCCTTCACAACGATCAAAACTTAAGTCACAAACCTCAATAATGCTGGTGGCCCTGTGTTCCTTTTATAGTTTTTGAGGGTCTCACTTCAATTACAGTGTAATTATATACATTCAAATCATTTTAGATGTATATCCTTGAGGTGTAGTGCTCAGATAAAAACAGAAGATTCATTAATTGTTGTGGCAAGAGCCAATTTTCCAATGACAGTATTTAACTCAAGGTGACCTGAGACCTGTTGAAGTTATTCAGATAAAACTATTGATAAATGATTCTTCCATTCCATTTCTGAGGTGGACCTTTCATGTGCCTGTGCTTATCAGCACATTATTGATGATTCCTCATGAATTCAATAATTGATTGTTCCTCATCAGCCAATTAACTTGACAAGAATAGGTTCTTGGCTCTTGGTCCTGGAGTAATGGGAATTTATGGGTCAGAAAACCTTCTCTTCCTTTTAATCTTTCTGATGTTCTGAAGAGCGAAGTTGAGCACTGGAATGAATTGGAAAATCCCTTTAATCCCTGTGCTCCCTTGACTCAAGCGTTCCTAATTATGCTTTCGAGCTTTTGAAGAGCCAGAGCTTCATTCATGTTATAGCATAGCTTTTCTGCACATCTTGAGGCACATGCACATTAATTATCAGCTCATTATTTTTTTACTTCAGTGCTTTGATGAACAGATAGCCATGTAAATACACTACACTTTCTGTCTGTTAGTAATACTCAATGGTCAATTGGGTACCCATTTCTTGTCATATAATTGCATACCAGTGAATGCCCAGTCTTCTCATTCTGCAGAGAGATGAGTAAGAGTTATTATTCTGCACTATCATCTGAAATGAAGTTGAATTGAGGCCACAATCTTTTCTTAAAAAGACATAAATGTAGGGTGCTTTTTTGTCTATTCCAAAGGTACCCTATTTATTATTTAGTTTATTATGGACATTAGGAAACTATTTGACAAGTCAAGGATTTTAAAAAATGCTTTTAAAAAGTAAGAGAAATTTAGGATACACACTACAAGCAATACTGCCATTTCTGTTTCTTCAAAATCTTAGTTGATATCTCAGGTTTTCAGAACATAAAGGGAAGATCTGACAGCTTTTTAAGTCAAAGTGATTGGTAAAGTTTTTTTTAATAGTAAAGAAATAAAATAAGCGTGCCAAAAAAAAGTCTATGGTACATAGGACTTTGTTAATTGTTTTATGTTATTGTTGGGTATTTACGGGTTTGCTTCTAGCCTCAGTGTTTTAACTGAAATAACCTGTATGCTGACTGGTGCTGTTGAGGTGCTTGTGAAAGGCTGGAGGCATTATAAACCACCCCATTCCAGCCCCAATCTACCCCATTCCACCCTATTGCCATCACCAGTCTACAGGAGAATCCAAGGAAGATGGGCTCACATTGTCCCCCCGATATAACTATGGCTCTACTGTATAAGAAACACTTTGAATTGAACCATTTTCTTTTTTCTATTTCCCTTTAGAAAAAAAAGTCAAAGATATAATATTTTCTGAATACTTGTGTGTCACTGAATGCTACTAGGGAGGTCCTCAGACCTGACAGAGATTTTATTAAATGCTTTTGAACCCTGTCTCTTCCAAAAGGCAAAAGAGTCCAAAATGCATGCAGGATATACTTCTTCTGTTTTGCTTGGTGCTCTTTGGATTGTCTTCATCGAGGTAGTCAGAATTTGGAAGATGCATCAGCAGACAGACAATGTTGCTGTCACTAGCTGCTTAGTAAGATAATGGAATGGGAAAATCTGGACATGACAGCTATATCAGGCTGCCTAAGCAGCAAAATGGGCAGGTGGTATATTTCTTTCTTTCTATATCCCCTATAATATATTTAATTTTTCAGCTGCAAAGTATTATCAGGGTTTACTTGCATTTAATAATCAAAGTGAAACTAAAATATGGAATGATTGATTTGTCAATGAAAACAATTTGCCATCCCAAGCTATCAATAGGAGAATGTTTTACATGTATTGACTTTGTTTTAAAGCTGTTCATATTCCAGTTATATTGTGTAGAACCTCTGGGATATGGTGATCTCAGAAGTCATGGATTACCACTGCTCTGTGTGTCCCAGCCTTTTCAAGGACACCTAACTCTAGGAGCGTCAGATGTGTCGTGAGCCAATGAGCAAGTAGCCCACTCTACCACCTGTGATGTCTTGATTAAAATGTATCAGAGTACTTTCATACAATTGTTGCATTTTCAGTTCACTTGCAAAACACAGAATGCTCAGAGGTACTGTGTAGGGTATTACAAACTCTGACCTGTTATATAACTAACATATATTTTTACTGCCAAAGAAATACATAAAATAAATACCCTCTTTTGATTTGTCCAAGCTATGCTCAAAGTGTAGCAAGATTCATTTGATGATTTTAAATGGGTGAATGGGTGCCAATGCTATTGTGATCTGTCTGTCCCCCTTTTCCTTTTTAGCAAATGCTTAAGTTCTTTTTGTACAGTACTGATGTGTATTGGAAGAGAGAAAAGCTAAAGAGCTTATGTCATTAGGAATATTGTAGCTGTTTGTAGAAAACCATAGATTTAGCACTAGACACTACCAGCTTCTAAAAAACGCTTTTTTTTTTCTTTTAGTAGGTCTCCTTCAATTGTCCTTTTTAAATGTTTTGGTGTAAATCATTAGGGATCAGTACTGTCCAATACCCATTTTATGCCAATTCTAAGGTTTCCTGTTTCATGTCCATTTACAACATGTGTGCTAAATAAGAATCAAACCGTGTAGAAATGTCCATCAGATTAGAGACAAACCTATTACTAAATAATCATAAGATACTAAGAAACTAACAAGCTGGTAGCTCTAAATCCTATTAAAAAGCTCTTTTATGTATGTGGAGTTTTGAGACACAGTATCCTTTGATTTTAACATACTGTATCAAATTATTAAGGAACCAAATACAGAAAAACAGATTAAAGCAGCCCTTTTGTCCTCTTTGGTGTTAGCAAATTCTTTAAGTTCTCTTAACGTACGCAATATATATTTGCCCCTTGTGTCAATTCTGTATATGAAACAAGTGTGACTATTTTAAACTGTGGTATTAAGAGTGGAGTTCCCTATTTGTGGAAATTGAGTTTTTTTGTGTTTTGACCGCGTTATATTTTTATATCGGAAGGTTTATTGATATGTGCCGATAATTTCAGTTGTGTTCCAGTCCCTCGAGTGCCTAAGATGTGACTATTCTGTACATCATCTATTACTTACCATAAGTTTTTCCAATATATTTTTTTCTTTTTCATTTTAAATTATTTTTAGGGTTTTGCCTCCTTTTGAATCACTGAGGATCTAAAAGATTGTTATGAAAAATATGACATTACCAATGTTAGGAAATTTCACAAAACATGGTGTATGAAATATGTAGCCCTAAAAAACATTTCTTCTTTTGATTTGATTTAATTTCTCAAGCCTGTAACTGTATTGTCATACTGAGCATTAAGATTTGTAAGGGCAGAATATTCATAATGGGTTTTTACTGTAAAGTCCAGACCTGTAACCAGGTATTACACTATTGGCAGCCTGTATTATTTATACTGTATGCTACCTTTGGATAAACTTAATACTTGTGTTCACTGAGAATGATCTTTATGATATCATGTTTCATTATATGATATGAGCTCCTATTAGACAATCATATTACTTGATACAAACTAGTCATATGAGCACAGAGAGCACTTTCCAAGCAGGAAAATATAGTTTTATGTACTCTTGCAAGTGTGAAGCATTAATTTCATGGTGAATCACATTTTATGCTCATGATTTTTAATATGCATTCCTTATTTTGTGCCAATTTTACATCCATTTTATGTTTATTCCTATGTGATTTCTTTCCTCTGCGCAGTCCAAGTGTTCCAGTGTTACCGTATGGAAAGTTTGAGCACAGTTTCACAGCACACTGCCTCACGGAACCAATACCAAAAGCACGATGAAGAAAGCATGCTATTGGAATGCTCTTAGCCCTACTATGATACAGTAAAAGCCACTATGGATCTAGTGAAATTTTCACAGTGCTTTTCTGTAGTGCAAAATTGTGTCTCCTTCGCAATTCTTTTTTGGGGTCAGAAATACAGTTTGTCTTTCCTAAAGGCGTCTGAGAAAAATGTTGTTGCAGCCGTATCTTCAAAATATGCCACCCATTTTATCACGATTGAGATTATTTCCACAGTTCCCATTTAGTTTTTAAAACACAAACCGAATACTGTACTTCTGCAAAAGCAGACAATATCTTCTACAGTTTTACCATTGCCAGTCAAAGGTTTGTTAAAAAAGATTAGATTTACATTTTTAATAGTTGTTTACACATTTTCAACTAAAGGGTATTTTTAAGTCTTATGCTGAGGTTTTGTTTTTGCTACCTTTTAATAATTACAATGATATTGTGCAATTATGACATAAATACAAATAATATTAACATGCCAAATTTTACACAGACACACAGTTTTACATGCTAAGTACTGTAGTAGTTCACTTAATCTATTATTTTCACTTTTTGTTACCACACACAACAAACTAATAAAATAATACCTGTCCACTGCTTCCTTGTTTAAAAACTATATAAAAAAAACAAAACAATTTACCGTCATCTACATAGTCTGACATAATCTATCCCTGGAACACTTGGATTTTATTGTGAGTATCTGGCATGCAGGCATGTGAGAGCAATCAAATGAATAGAGTCTCTATTATTGTTTATACAGTATAGAAGAAATGCTGTTAGTATACTAATGCTGAATAATGCTACCATTCACCACCAAATTCCTCAGTATGCTGACAGTATTCTGAGTAGCATCTGGAGCAGGAGGACAGTACTCTTCCTCTAAGACTTTGGGATTTTTTTCAAGGGTCATGCCTGAGATTTATGAATGGGAAAAATGTGTTAAGTGATGATAAACATTCCTTGACAACTCTTTTGAAGGTAAGATCGAAACAGGATTCAGGAGCCTCCAAAATGTGTCCTTAAAACCAGAGTTAAACAGCTATGTATTACATTTAAAATTTCAAATGTATTAGTAGAAAATGCATCATTAAAAGGAATAATGCATATTGATGCCTTTTCATGCGATATTAATTAGCAAAACATATTGTTAATAAAAGGATACCCAAACAAGCTTTACAAAATGAAAAGGAGAAAAAAGAGTATTGTATTTTTTATACAGCTGGCACTTCACAGACTGAATAATTACTTTCTTCTCACTAGTATCTTGCACTTAACACATGTAGCAATACTTAAAACGGAGAAATATTTAATTCACAAGTATTTGTTAAGTGAAAGACTCATTTTATTGCTGGTAAATGTTCTGTTTTGTACAAAATATACTGTATACTGTACAGATAAAAACCGACATCAAACAAAAAAAAATCTTTTAGATAAACTATTTATTTTTACTGTTTTTTGTAAGTTAGACACAATACTGTAGCTCCTTCATTGCCAGAATTACTGGAAGTGCCTCTTGGTAAAATGTATTATATAGTAAATATGTATTGAAATTATTAGAACTATTTGTCACAAGCTGAACAATGTGGATGTTGTAATGTGAATACATAAGTTGAATAACATGAATTTAATTCTGTGGTACTCAGAGTTGCGTGTTTATTTCTAAATGTGTGTACAGTGTAAATAAGCGGATAATGGCCTCTCCATGTTTGGATCCTATCTTGCGTTCTTCTATAAATGTTTTGTTGGGTTTTTATTAGTGTTAAAACCATAAATCCTCTGAATAGCGCAAGCGTCACGTCTAAAGGAGGAAAACAGTTACGTTTGGCATGGGGAGATGCCAAAGGATTTGAGTTTACCCTTGAGAAACAAAAGCTTTCCATTTTTATGCAGTTATTATTTATGCATTCTTTCCTGGGTACAATAATAACTAACAAAGGTGTAAACTGGAGAAATTGGGAAAGAGAAAAAAAGGTTGCACAAAGTCTGAGGTTTTTTAAGTAAAAGGGAGGGAGGGGGTCTTTTGTTGCAATCTGCTGCTTATTATATGACATTTTATAACCGTTTACTCTTGATATATATAATGTTCAGATGAGATGAAGAAGCTGCATTCAAGAACTCACTAGAGTCTAGAGAGAGTCGTTTTTTTTTCAGGAAACATCTCAAAGAACAGTACCAATTCCAGGGAAATATCAATTGTGAGGTTTGTGCCCCTGATTGCTTGTACTTGACTATGTCCATCCAAAGCAAATTCTTGTGCAGAAGGTAAACTCCAAAATCATGAAAGCGGTGTTTCCTTTACATACAGGACATATTGGTTCATTTCTGGGGTTTTCACCAGACTAATTATTCAAAAGGTTGGTTCAGTCAACTTGATTGATTAATAATTGTCATGAATTATCAATTAATCCAACTGCCACCGAAAACATGCAAGAATTATAATATATGCATAGTTATATGCTTCAGTAGTTCAGGTGGGGAGCTGCGTCAGCATGCGTAGGCTGCAAAGGAACAAGTAATACTGTAGGTTTATTCCATGCTGAAAAGAGAAGAAAGAAAACACAACATTTCGGCCGTGGATCCTTCTTCAGGTGTAAGGAATAAATATAAGAACACACCTCACACCTCACACCTCACACCTCACACCTGAAGAAGGCTCCATAACCGAAACGTTGTGTTTTCTTTCTTCCCTTTTCAGCATTGAATAAACCTATTACTTGTAATATGCTTTATCTTCCTCAGACCATACTGTGTATGCACATATACACAAATGCTTCTTATGCCTGGTATACTGTATGTTGGATGTCACCTTAAACGGTAATTTCACAGTTTATAGGATTATTTTGCTGTTAAATCTGTCTGCTTTCTAAATTGTTAAGAACGGATTTGTTATAGTTTGCTTTTTTTGAGTGATAGAATGGCACAGTGGTCTGCATTGCTGCCTCACAGCACTGGGGCCCTGGATTCAATTCCTAGGGTGCTATCTGCTTGCAGCTTGTGTGTTCCCCTCATGTTTGTCCACACAGACACAAACGCACACATTCACCACCAAGGCCAGTTTTCCCTATGGGAGGAAACCTGAACACTCACAGGAAACCTACATGAACAAGTGGTTAACATATAAACTCCATGTAGAGAAGCATCCCAGGTCTGGAACTGAACCCAGGGCGAAGCAGCAGTGATAGCCATTGCCCCACTGTGCCACCCAACTGAAACCGAATTGCTTGCTTTAAAGAATCACATTTTATAGAGAATAAATTACACTGTAATTCCTTTTGCATTACTGTGATTGTGCCTTTTGTACATCCTAAAAACCGAAGCTCCCGTTTCTTCCACTGCTCCAATTGCAGCGTGAATGCATTTTCCTAGTCCACCATCATCACCATCATTTTGTTTTCATAATATCAGTAGAGTGAAACATGAAGTAAAATAATAAACTAAATGCCAGAATTATTGGGACATCAACCTTTCTCCATAATTGTTTAAATGTGACATGCTGATCTCTGCCTTTATTATAAAATGTTATGGGATAGCTTTGTGTGTTTTTATACTTTACAGAAAAGTTACAGAGGTTACATAACTGGATTAAGTAAACACTTTAAGGATTTATGTCTTTGAATTCATTAGTTCAGGATTTGTCTAAGACCATAGTTCTCAATGTTGACAGGCATAATAAATATTTTACATTAGTCTTGAAAATGGCAGATTTAAAAAGAAAATGGGATTAACCCTGGACTGGCATTTGCAAAACAACTTGTAGGCCAACGTGTGTTCATAAATGTAATTAACTTCCACATCCATCATTTGAAAGAGTAATCAAGATAGCATGATAGAGGAAAGACTGCCTTTCCATTGATTTTGCCCCAATCTTTCTCTTCACCTGTTTTTTTCTACTGTTTTCTACTGACTGGAGCTCACATTGCGTGAGAACAATAAGCAGTTACAAATGAGAAGAGGTCATTCAACCTTTGGCTCCTATTCACTCTCATTGATCCATCTGTTTGTCAAAGGACACCATAGAATCAGCTTTTACAATATGGCTGGGAAACAGACCTGAAACAGACCTGAACAAACCATTGTGTACAGAGGTGGCACCTGTTCTCAGTCTTAAATGAACCGACTGCAAATTTCCACTTGTGTGCCTGGTTTATGATTTGCTGTTTCTAACAGCAGCAAATTCGCTAAGTCGTTTTTGTTGGTACTTTTCAGACGTGCGTCATCTTTGATCAAATCCCTTCTCTGCCTCCTCTCCAGAAAATTCCAATTATTTATAGATCTTTATCTTCAGCATTATCCTCTCTAGACCAGCAAAATACGTCCTTGCATTTTTCTAGTTATCATTCCATCTAAAATCTTAATAACCCATGAAATATTCACTTAATTGACTTCCTGTATTGTAGGACATTGATTACTTAATTTTGCTTTAGACAGTATGTACTGTGTCAGGGCTGAGTTACACTATCCAAGTTTTGATGGGTGATGTCACTTCTGTGGCTCAGAGCTCTACTACAAGTGCACAAACTTTATATGAAAGCCAAAGCCACACAAATAAAAAAACAACACAGTTTACACCGATGTATATGCTTTTCTTGCGTTCTTATAATTTTATTTTCTCATTACCCTTTTATAGTCAAGCAAATCTTAACTTCTTCAAATTACTGTTTACAGGCACCTTTTTCATGCTGCTGTCAGTAATGTAATTAACTCTAAAATATTTGCCAGGGGGTGAGAAACAGACATGTGGCTTTTCACCCAATTTAATTGGCTATTTTATTAATTGAATTGTTACATATCTTCTGATGAAGATACAGTATGATCTCCGTTGACTCACAACATATTAAACTGTTGTTGTTTTCCACAGTTGCTTCCTGAATTGAGCAAATATTAGAGTGACATAACAAAAGTCACAAATAAGATTTCGTGGCTATTGTAACGAATCCCAATGATGAGGTATGAGGATCGTATGCAGACGAAGGAGAGGGAACATAGTGAAACATGCGTTCAATCCAAAACGTTAGGCAAGTTCGTGGTCAAAAGACAAAAGGAAGTTCAGTAGCCGGGAGAAGTATCGCAAGAGAGGCTCAAACAAAGGCGAGGTAAGAGCTCTTTAGGAGAGGAATCAATGGTTTAAATAGCGCTGCGTGCCACACTGTAGAGCATGTGCTGATGGATTAACACGTGCGGCGGCGCTTGTTATTATTAACCCATTGCTGGCACTGGTTAGCTCTTTTGTTGGGTTGATCTCTGCTGGCTGGCGGTCGTGACAGCTATTCTTCCCACTTTTAGTCATCTGCAAAACTAGTAGCACAGTGAGTCTAACATGTCATCCAGCCATTTCATATAACAGCCCAGCGTCTCGGGAGGCTGTTCCAAGTACCCACCTCTCTTTATGTTAAGAAACAGTCTGTTTGCTTTTTTACTGCTTCCCCACTTCGTCTTAATGAGAACATACATTTCTAATCTACTTGAACACCCAGTTTTCTATTGTATGTTGCTTTTTGCAGCTAAAAATCACTCCTACATTACAGTGCATGTCCTTATTAGCAGTGTGGGTCTCTGTGCACTTATCAATTTTAAGTTTAATTTTCCACGTGGCTGCTCAATTTATGATTGCATCTGAATCTATGTGTATTTGTATGTTCTTGTTGCTTTGCTGTTTACCACTCCAGCATTTTTGTACCATCTGCAAGTTGATCTAGTTTTCTAATGACGTCCCTCCATTTTCTAACTGCTTTATCCAGTACAGGGTTGCGGGGTGGCTGAAGCAAGCAACAGGTGGGAAACACCCTGGATGGGACACCAGTCCATCGCAGGGCACACACAGACACAAACAGGCACACAATCCCACCAGGGGCAATTTTCACCAGAAGCCAATTTACCAGCATGTCTGTGGGAAGAAACTGGAGCACCTGGAGGAAACTCAAGCAAACCTGGGAGGAACATACAAACTCCACACAGATAGCAACCAAGGTCTAGAACTGAATGCAGGGCTAACCACTATGCTACCGTTCATATTTAACAACAACAATAGGTTTAAAAATTAATAAATGCACGGATGTTCTTTTCCTAACAAGATCCTCAGATTTAGTGCATTTTTGTTTTTGTCATTAGACATCAAATGGTGCTAAGCTGGTAAACATCGTTAAAAGCACCATGTCTGTGTGGAAGCAGGTCAGCTGATAGCTATAGCAGGTCTGCGGCAGTGAGCTCAGCTTTCCCTTTTTAAATCAAACAGAAGCTGTTTGTTGACCAATGTCTTCAGTGCTTAGCTTACACATCTTGGACAGCAGCAAAGACCTCAGCCTCATCAGAGAAAAACTCATTTAACAATGAGTTAAACTCGATTTGTTTTGCTCTTCATAGAAAGCTCTGTGCTGTCACCAGGTCCCCTGTTGTGCTCATGCCTTTAAGTTTTCAGTCTGCAGATTTCAGAGAGTAGAGTGTATGAATACAATCATAGACAATTAAGAAAAAAAACACTGTGCTTCAGAATAGGCACACATAGGGGAGTAAGTGAAAGAGCAATGCCTGGCTGGAGATTCAATTTTGTGACTGCTTCTGGGGTTGTAAATGCAGGCCCTCAGAGGAAATTACTGTATCAGTATAGTACAGTTGAGCTTGGAAAATAAGGTAACTGCTCC